GTCACTAGCCTCACTTTCTCCTCTGAAGCCATCTGGGTCCAGTGGCAGGATACAGATCAGGATGACTGGAAATGGCCCAAGATGCAGTTGGGTGATCTTGGCCTTTTTAAGCTAAGGACTTTCCCAAGTCTCAGTTTGTCTGTGGCAATGCCCCTTCAATGATTAAGGATAGGTAAAAAAAAAATGAGGCAAAGAATGGCCTCTTTGACCTAGTCAAAAAAAAAAAAAAGAAGTAAATCTGGGAGGGGATTGTAACCAGGTGGTAGTGGTCCATCTCTGTTACCCATCGACGTGAGAACAGGTTGGAGTAGTAAGCCCAACCAGTGAGAAGTGGGGATATTTCCCCAACCTAGACAAGAAGTATGAGGTCCCAAATTTTATACTGTAGGATTGTTTATATTCCATTTTGTTTCTAGACCCCACCCAGTATATATATTGTGAAAGCCTTAAAATAGATTACAGATTATTCGTTTTCTGTCATCATATAAGGGAAAGAGTTAAGGTTATTTTCTTTGGACTCTCCAGGACATTTGTGTTGTGCCCTCATCTTTCTCCACTCTGTATTTGCTCCCAGAATTTCCCTGCAAGAGGAGAAATGCACAAGGCTCAATGTCCTCAATGTCCATGCCCCAGCTCCACAGTGTAAATGGGAACAAAGTCAGAGAAAGGAGATCTGAGACTTATGGAAGGGTAAGGGACCAAAAATCAGAGTTGTGCGCAGCCATCCATGAATAGTGGAGGAGGAGGAAAGAAGATGGGGTTGTGTTCCTTGACTTAGAATCTTGGCTCCAATTTTCGAAGTTTTAGTTTTGGTGACACCTTTGGTTGAAGAAAATGATAGTAGCTTGCATTTTTATAGCATTTTAGAGATATAAGATGCTTTGCATACATTATTTCATTGGTTAGGAGATAGCATAGCTTAGTGGAAAAAACGTGGGATTGAGAGAGGCAGCTAGGTGGTACAGTGGATAGAGAGCAGGGCTGGGAATCAGGAAGACCTGAGTTCAAATCTTGCCCTTTGTGACCCTGGGCAAGTCACTTAATCACTGTCAGCCTCAGTTTCCTCCACTATAAAAACTATAATAATAGTACCTACCTGTGAGGATCAAATGTCCTGTTTAAGTGTTTCTTCCCTTCTTGAGCCCTGGTTCTTTTATTTACTAACTATGTTACCATGACCAGGTCACTTTACTTCCCTGGGCTTCAGTTTCTTCATCTGTAAAATGAGGAAGTTTGATTTAGATGATCTTTAAGGTCCCTTATAGCTCTAGGTGCTATGGATCTTCATATTAACCTTGCGAGGCATGTTGGACAGATAATTATCCCTTAGTGAGGGAACTAAGGATTGAAGTAGAAAAGACCATACTTCACCCACTCCCTATTGTAGTGACAAAACAAACAAAATCCTTCCCTGGAAAGCAAAGCCACCTGACCTTTATGCATTCATGCTGATTAATTGCTGGATTTGCTAAGTGCTAATTCCTCACTTGGCTCTGGTCTTTGGAGGGAAGTCCCAAAGGCAAAGTACAGCAGCGTAGTGAGGAAAGAGAGCAAGAAGGAACCTTGCTGGCTAATTCTTCATTCATAGGTATAAATATTAGGTAATTCATGTGCCACAGAGGACTGGCAGTTTCTTTTGCTATTAACAATCTCTTTCTCGGAATTATTATTGGAGGTCCACTGATACTAACTCACTCCATCCAACTTCCAGAGAGAAATCCCCTGATGGTTACTCCCATCTCTATATTAGGCAGTTACGTGCTGCTGACAATGGGAAAGATTTGCAGGGAGGAAGAACAATTCAGGAGTGGCTCTAGCATCTAGTGATTGATTGGTTATGTCATGAACACTGTCACTGGTAGGACAAGGGGTAGTTGGAGCTTAGTGGGAGATATCTTTCCATTTCCCCCAAATCTAGCTTACTCTGATGTCTAAAATGGACAAGGAGCCCACTAGGGTCAATGTGGTCTTAGCCATGGGCTAATTACCAAAAGAGTTGGCCAAGAGCTGAAGTTTATCCAAAATATGTGAGGATTTTATTCTGAGAATTACGTTGAAAGTATTTTAAATGGGGGCAGCTAGGTGGTGCAGTGGATAGAGCAATGGCTCTGGAGTCTGGAGGACCTAAATTCAAATCCAGCCTCAGACACTAGCTGTGTTACCCTAGTTAAGTCACTTAATCCTGATTGCCTCAAAAAAAAAAAGGTATTTGAAATGGTTCTGCTTTTAGTAGATGGGACTAGGTCCTAGGAAAAGTGAATCGCAAGGCTGAGAATGGGGTGAAGTAGAAAAGGAGGTTAGGAACTAGAGGAGTTCAGAAATACCAATTTATCCCCACCAGAAGAACACTTGGGCTTAGCAGGGCCTCAGGACAAAGCAGTAATTAGGGAACGGCCTTGGGTACTTTGCTTCTAGGTCCCAATATCTGGTTGGGAGCTGTACCTCAGACCCTGCCTACTGTGTACCCTTGGGCAAGGTCACTTAATTTCCTTGAGCCTCGGTTTCCTTATCAGGGAAATGAGGAGGTTGAACTTCCAGTCCTATTTGCCTGCCATCCTCCCCAGTCTCTATCCTCTGTGTCTCACTGAAGGCCTCTTCTTCTGCTAACCAACTTCCTTTCATTCTAGAATTCCTCCTGTCACTTTCCTTTCAACTTGAGGCAGGCATCTCTTTTTCCTGAAGGCACCACATCTCTTAGCAACTTCCCCAAGGCTAGCTGTTTCTTCTCTCAGCTCCCTGGCTCCGTCCTGCCACTTTCAGACCCTCCCTGCTCTGATATCATTACTTAGCAATCCACTGCTCTACAGACTTTTGGTCCTTTTAATCTATGGACCTCCAGGTCTCCCTATTTCCTAACAAGTTAATTACCAGGTTCATGATCTTCCCCACTTGTTCAACAATCCTGTTCCAACCTGCCTCCTCCAAAAGATTGCCCCCTCTGTCATCACTAAACTCTTCCATTTATTTTCACTTTCTCCCTGTCTTATTTCCTGCTGCCTACAAACATGTCTGTCTCTCTAGTCCTGAAAAAATCCTCTCTTGATTCTTCCATTCCTGCTATCGTCCTATATCTTTTCTGCCCTTTGTAGCTAAACTCCTCAAAAAGGCTGTCTACAATAGGTGCCTTCACTTTTTCTCCTTTCTGTCTTTTCTTAACCCCTTACTAGACTTCTGACCTCATCATTCCACCAAAACTCTCTCTCTAAAGTTACCAATGATCTCTTAGTTGCCAAATCCAATGGTCTTTTCTCAGTCCTCATTCTCCGTGACCTCTCTGCAACCTTTGACACTGTTGACCCCTCCCTCTTCCTCGACTCTCTTCTCTCTAGGTTTTTGGGCCACCACTTTCTCCTGGTTCTCCTCCTACCTATCTGACCACTCCTTTCCTGTCTCCTTTGCTTGATCGTTTTTCAGATCACTTCCTCTAACCATAGGTGTCCTTCAGGGGTCTATCCTGGGCCTTCTTTTCATTTTGTTTGTTTTTTTGCTAGGCAATGGGGTTAAGTGACTTGCCCAGCTAGTAAGTGTCAAGTGTCTGCGGCCGTATTTGAACTCAGGTCCTCCTGACTCCAAGGTTGGAGTTCTATCCATTGTGCCACCTAGCTGCCCCTATCCTGGGCCTTCTTTTCTTCTCCCTATATTCTGGATTTCATTACCATTTCTATGCTGATGATTCTCAAATCCACCTCTCCTTCAACCTCTCTGCCAACCTCCAGTCTCTCATCTCTAACTGCCTTTCAGACATCTCAAACTGGATGTCCACTAGACATCTTAAGTCAATATTGTCCAAAGGGGAACTCATTATTTCCTCCCCTAAATCATCTTTCTCACCTTCATTCCCACCTCTTCTGCCTACCTTCCCTATTACTGTAGAGGGCAAGACCATCGTCTCAGTCCCTCAGGCTTGCAACCTAGATGTCATCTTCCACTCCTCACTGTCTCTCATTCCCCATATCCAAGCTGTTGCCAAGACCTGTTGATTTTACCTTTGTAACATCTCTCGAATATACCTCCTTCTTCCCTCTGACACTCTAGTGCAGGCCCTCTCACTTCATGACTTGATTATTACAGTAGCTTGCTGGTGGATCTGCCTGCCTTAAGTCCCTCCCCACTCCAACCCATCCTCCATTCAGCCACTAAAATGATTTTCCTAAAGTGCAGGTCCTTATCATGTTACCCCCCCACTCAATAAACTCCAGTGGCTCCCTATTATTCCCAGGATCAAAGACAAAATGCTATGATTGGCATTCAAAGCCCTTCATAACCTAGCCCCTCCTACCTTTCCAGTCTCTTTACACCTCACTCCCTGACATGTACTCTTTGAACCAGTGACACTGGTCTCTTGGCTATTCCATGAACAAGACATTCTTGGCTCTGGGCATTTTCTCTGACTATTCCCCATGCCTGGAATTGCTCTCCCTCCTCTGTTCCCACTACTGACCTTCCTGACTTCTTTTGAATTCCCAACTAAAATCCCATCCTTTACTGGAAGCCTTTCCCAATCCCTCTTAATTCTAGTGCCTTCTCTCTGTTAATGATTTCCTATTTATCTTGTATATAGCTTGCTCTGTATATATTTGTTTGCATGTTGTCTCCCCCATTAGATTATAATCTTCTTGAGGGCAGGGACTGTTTTTTGTCTCTTTTTGTATCCCTAGTGTTTAGCACAGTGTCTGGCACATGGTAGGTGCTTAATAAATGTATATTGATTGATCCACTCCAACCCCATCCCTCTTTGAATACTCTGGCCTCCCTGTTTCAGAAACCTCAACTTCTATGAAACTGTCTGCAACAGAAAATGATGGTAGTGAATGGAAGGGATGGCTAAAGTAAAATGACTATGGTATGATTCACATGGTAGACCAGCAAACTGGTAGATAGAATAGATCACATAGTCCAGGAACCGACCTACTTTAGCAACTTGGGTTCTCTTGGTTTTGCCTTCTTCTCCTCACTGATCCTTCTCTAAAGGGGGAAATGAGCTTACCACAACCTCTCACCTGAATCCTCATGATGGCCTTGATGGCAGCCTCAAACTCTTCTGAATTGTTGTAGTCAACTGTCCATACGTGTGGCTTGCCAATGAAGTTCTCAGCATAGGGGTGTTGAGAAAACACCTGGCCAGGACACAAGGTGTCCTGAGCTTCTCTGTGTCCTGCTAAGGTAGCCCAGGTATAGAAAGCCAGACAGCCCTCCAACCCAAGTGTGCTGAAGGAATGCAGCCCCAAGCTCTTTGATCTTGTTCCATTTCTTCATATTTCCCAGGCTCCCTCCACTGTCCTTCCCAACCGACTATGTTCTTATCTCCCAGCTTTTGGGCTCTTTACTCATATAACCTAGAATTACAGATTTTCTCTTAACCTCACTTCCCATGCCTCAGACTCTCTCCTTATTCTGGAGACCCAATGTAATAATTATAAGAAAGTGGTCCTTGGAATCCCTAGGTTTCAAGCTGTGAGTAGGATTCTGGTACCCAAGGTAGATTCAGTTGTTGGGGGTAGGAAGTAATTACCCCAGGCCTCTTCTACCACTGAAAGGAGACAGAGGAAGTGGAAAGGGGCAGGAAAAGTACATGTCAGTGGGGAAAGATACTCCATGGAAGGAGTACAACTGTGATAGGATTATAAGGATACTGGGGAAAGACAGGCCAGTGGATGAAACCAACAGGCACAGGAAAACCAATTTAGGGGACTACCAGCACTCCTACAGACATCAGTGTCCCTCTTCTAGTTATGACTCTACTGGATCCTCCCCTCAGGGGCCAGAATTCTCCCATCACTTACCTCTCGAGAAGTGGGTTTTCCTCGAAAGAATTCATGGTTGAGGGAGCTATGAGGTGGACTGAAGCGAGACTGCAGGAAGATGCAGCCATTGGCAATAGCCTCTAGAGGAGCAGGGCCCTCATAGGGGAAGCCAAACCCTATGAAGAGCTAGGGGAACAGATAGCAGGACTGTCAGGGCAGGAATTGACTAATAGGTCACACATGTCAGAGAAACAAAAGCAGGCGTGTGAGGTTTGGGAGGGAGCTCGGGAAAAAGTAGGAACCAGGAAAGGAATCCAACATTTTTCTCCCAGAGGCTATCAGATAGTTTCAAGAACCATGTGTTTCTACACAGAAACTTGTTCATTATATCAAGCTTGCATCTCCCTGTGGCACAGATCTGTCCACCTGGAACCCCAGATTTCCTTGCCATAGTTCCCAAAGCAGCAAATGCTAACTCTCTGTACACTCGAGGATGTCTGGAGCTAACAAACCAAAGACAGTAGCCCCTACACCTACCATTCCTTCAACCCAATAAGACTTTGTCCTCCCACACCCAGACCTTCTAAAGCACTTTGTTTTCTGACTCTCTGATGCAAGCACTATATATGGAATTACAATTAATATGTGTATGTCCTGGTTTCTGACTCTCCCTTCATAAAAAGAGTAGAACCAAAGGGAGCTTTTCCCAACTTGACTCCACATGGGGAAGAATGGTGGCTTAATGAAATTTTGTATGTCCCCCCAGCCCCTAGCATTGGATTTTTCACATAGTAGGTGCTTAACAAATGTCTCTTTAATTGAATTAAATGGAATCTATCTAGAAGCTAGAACCAGGATCAGTTCTGTATGGAATCCTGTTGGTGAACAGCAAATGGAGCTGATACTACCTGCTAGGCTGAACTTGAACCAAACAAGGGATGAAATAATGCTTTAGCTACTTTTCTGTCACATAGTTTTTCTCTTCCCCCCCCTTAAAGCAGGAGTTCTTAACCTGGGGTCCATGAGCCTCTAAGGGTGGGGGGGGTCTATGAATCAATAAAAAATTTTTTCATTACTCTACCAATATAGTCTGAAACTCTACCAATATAGTTTTTGATAACTATACCAATCTAGTTGGAAACCAATATAGTTAGTTTCCTTCGTGGTTCTATGTATTTTATTTTATTCCTATATATTCATTTTATTCATTTATTTCATTCATTATTCTGAAAAGAGATGCATAGGCTTTACTAGACTGCCAAAAGGGTTCAAAGAAGGATAAGAATCTCTGCCTTAAAGAATCTGGAGGCCAACCCTCTCCCACACTCCACTCTGTAACCTTCCTTTTTTCCTTCCTTTCCTTTCCCTTTTCTTTGTTACCTCCCCCTCCCTGTAGTCCCAGCTTTCCTGGCTTTTGCCAGGCCCTAGGGACCATGATATGGAAGACATGGAAGGAGCTACTAGCAAAGGCTGCTATTAAAAATGGGTTGGGATAACTTTTACCTCTGTTGCTGAGGTCCACCCACTGCCCCTAGCCCTGCCTTAGAAGTGATTCTGTGCCCCTCACCTTGGCTTTTCGCAACAACTGTTGGAATTCCTGCTGTGGCAGAAGGCCATGGTTCTTCACAAAGGCAGGGACCTCTGGTGGCCGCTGGGTCTCATAGTACACAGTGCCATGGATCTCCATGTACTTGTTCAAGATGCCCAGAAACTTCTCCTTGCCCTGGGAGAGAAAGAGAAGGAATTACCAACGCCAGAAAATGCAGAACCACCCATGAGACACTGGTGTAACACTGGACTAGGAGTCAGGAATACACGGAATAAGGGAAGAATGCTGAACTGGGAGTCAAGGAGCTTGGCCTCTAGTTCAGTCTCTGTCACTAGCTTGCATTGTGACTTTGGGCATCTATCAAAATGGGACAGTCGGATTTAGGTTGACTTTCAACTCTATATTCCTATGACCCTTAGCTCTGCTTACCTTATATTTATCTAGGGAAGTATTGCTGAGAAGGGAGAAAGAGAAGGAAGAAAAGAAGTTAAGGAGAGATACTGGCCCTAAACTTTTCATATTACTGGGCCCAAAGTGGGAAGGGGAGGATGAGTTCATTCCATCAGCTGTGGCCTCGGAGAGTCCCAGGTGTAGTGCTCACATGAGGGAAAGGCAATTTTCCCAAGCAAAGAACCTTGGTATTTGGGAAGCCTTGACAAGAAAAAGCCATGTCAAGGATCTCATGCTTATCAGTTATCTATCCATTTTCATTTCAGAAATTAGAGACCTAGAGTGGGTCAGTTGGGGAGGAGGGAATCTGTGCCTGAGAAATTGTCAAAATCATCTTCATGAGGCACAGGTTTGACCACATCATTCCCCTGATCAAAGTCTTCAGCAGCTCTCTATTGCTTTTAGGACAAAATACAGATTGTACGTTTGTACAATTTGTCTCCCATGCCTGGAATGTACATCCTTCTCTTTTCTGTCTCTCAGAATCTCCCTTAATTTAAAGTTCAGCTAAGGTGCCACCTCCTCTTGAAGCCTTCCTTGATCCCCCTAAATCATTAATGCTCTTTCCTCAGATTATCTTGTATTTATTCATCTGTAAAAGGAGGCAGTTAATCTGTACAACCTCTAAAGCCTCTTCCAGCTTGGAATTCTATGATCCTATGACTAACCAGTAGGGATAGATTTTCCTTATTCTCCCTGCTTCCCTTATAAGTTTACTAGATGACGCCAGGGACAGAAATGAGGCTGCGGAACAGAGGGAAACTAACTGGCTCACATATTTGGATGGAACTGTGGCCCTGGTCTCATTAGCACTGCACTCCCTGCAAGGCAGAAAATCATTGAAAACTGCATTCTTCATTACTAGCCCCATTAAGCTACCACTGGACTGGAGCTGGACTTGTGCTTCCCTTCAGGTACATAATAACCTTCTCCCTCTCTTCTTCCATCCCTCCTCCCCCTCTTATTCTCCTCTCCCTGCCTTAGCCATGGATCTGTCCCATGATTCAATTTACTTCTCTCTCTTTTTGCGGAAAGAACTCTTGCTCTCCAGTAGTTACAAAGACTGCAGCAACTACTCATGAGGTCATTTGCTAAACAACAGTGTTCCAGGCATTTAAAGCTGGAACTTTAAATGCCCCTTGACCTTCTAGACTTCATAATTTCATTCTCCCAGGGCAGTGTCTTCATAGTGCTTTCTTGTAAAACTGGGCTCGCTTGTTTTATTATCCTCTCTGCCTTCTTTTCAAGTTTCTAGCACCTAAATCTTTCTCTCATTTAGAGAAACAACCATCAGATGTGAGAAGCAGTCCCAGATTTTCCTTCCCTCCCCTTTCAACTCCATGAGGGTCACTGAAGTTCTCTGCTGAAGGTTAGGACCTTTTTGCTCTTTCCTTTAATACTCCCCCTCTGCAAGCCTTTCCCCTTTACCACTGTAACAGACTGGCCTCTTGATACCAGCTGCTGCATATCACCAACATAGCTTATTCCTTTGTACCCCTTTCACTCTCTGGGAGCAGTCCTCTGGACAGTGTGTCAAACTGGGTTTCAGGGTCCTGTACCCTGTCTGTCACTTCATAAAAAGAGAAGAACCAGAAGGATCATGGACAGACTTTCCTGTCCAGCCACTCTTATTGCCCTTCTACTATTCTCACAAAACTACTTTCCACATCAGTTAAGCCCAATCCAAGTAGCTCAGACACCAAGTTTCACTGTTTAAGACCCAACAGAAAGGAGGAGAAAGAACAATCAGAAGTTGGGACACGCCACTTGTACCATACCTGCATCTGCAGCATCCCCAAAAGTTGGCAGAAGAAAAAGAGGGGAGAGAGGGAATAAATTAGCATCTCATTCATCAATCCAAACTCTTAGAACAGGATTGATTTCCTGGGTTTATTGGAAGGATTTCACAGTACAGGAGCTGTTTTTTCTCCTCATCTGGGCTAATTGAAATAGTTGATATGTTTTTTTTTTTAATGTGATTCCTAAGAATTCCCAAGGAAGGAGAATTTATAGCTTCCCCCAGTGGTCAGTTTAATATCTCACCCCACAGCCAAGTTTCTTTCTGGTGTTTAATCTCAATCCTCTTGTCCTATCCCTACGAGGCAGAGAAAAATAACTGGGTATATTCTTCTGTCAAATGACCTTTAAGGACAGTAAGTGGAACAGGACTCAAGGCCAGGTGCTTTTTAAATTGAAAGCAAGGATTTCTTTTGATGATCCTCTCAAATGTCTCCTGGTCTGGGAGTCAGGGCTGAGTTCTGGAAATGGATGGGCTAAATTCCCAAGGTCCTTTCCAACTATAATGTTCTATGAAACTGTGTTTATGTGGGAGTCCCTATTCTACCTCAGTGGTCATCTAATCTAATCCACACCCTAAAGGGAATCACTTCTACTCTATTGCATTCTCTACTGCACTTTGCTTGCAGACCTAAAATGAGCAGGTAACCCATTACCTCTTAAGGCAGTCCATTCTGCTATTGGAACACTCTAGTTGTTAGGGCATTTTTTTTTCTTGACATACTTTTTCTTGTCTCTTTGTAACTTCCAACTATTGCTCCTAGGTCTGGCCCCTGGGGCCAAGAAAAACAAGTGTAATCTTGTTTCCGAATTCCAGATCTTAGAATATTCCAAGACATATCCCTAAATATCTTTAAATCTCCAAGCTAACCATTTAGTTTTTCTTTCTTTCTTTCTTTCTGGATAGGCAATGGGGTTAAGTGACTTGCCCAGTGTCTGAGGCCAGATTTGAACTCAGGTCCTTCTGAATCCAGGGCCGGTGCTCTAACCACCGTGCCACCTAGCTGCTCCATAAACATTTAGTTTTTCACCCAATCTTCCTGCAGCATAATCTAGAGACACCCTTTCCCACCACTGATGCCCTCCTCTCAACACTCTCCTTCTGAAAATGTATTGCCTAGAAGTGAATGCAATTTTCTAGTGGTAGTCTGATCAGGGCAAAATATCCATCTAATTGTACTGTTATCTAACTCATATCTCTCCATCTTGTTTGTCCACAGGAATATCATAGAGAATTTGTCAAATACTTCACCAAAATCTTTATCAACTATATCTATAACATTCCCCTGATCAGTAATCCAATAAAAAAAAAGAAAGAAAAAAAATAAGGTTAGTTTGGTATCACCTATTCTTGATGAAGTTATGTTAATTCTTTGTAATCATCATTTCCTTTTCTAGATGTTCACTAAACATCATTAACTTATTCTTGGGTACACTATACACAACAAGCATTTTAATAAATCGTTGTCCAATCAAATGGATGGAAGAGCCAGTTTTAATAGCAGGGTTTTTACTGTCCTGAATCTCTCCCTGTCCCACAACCCCATAATACACATTGTCCACAATGGATGTAGGACATAAGCGTTAAAGGGGATCTTTTAATGAAAACCTTTCCAATTTCCTGTGCCTTGAGTTCTAATCCATGTCTGTAAATGTTGGGAGTTTTAGGGGCAGCTAGGTGGTGCAGCGGATAGAGCACCGGCCCTGAAGTCAGGAGGACCTGAGTTTACATCTGGCCTCAGACCAAACACTTGACACACACTAGCTGTATGACTTTGGGCAAGTCACTTAACCCCGATTGCCTCACCCAAAAAAAAATGTTGGGAGTTTTGATGAACAGGGGGTAGTAGAAGAGGAGGAATGCAGTCTTGGCTTCAGAAAAGCTTGCAAGGCCCAGCCCTGGCTCTCACCTTCCAGATGCTGGCTTCTTTGCCATATACCACAGCCATATTGCTGGCTTTGTTGTTCTTTATAAGCTGCTTCTCTGTTGAGTTGAGCTCCTCTGACACAAAGCCCATGAAGGAGTTGTCCGGTGTATGAGCTACATGCCAGGAGATGCAGGAAGGATAGAAAGGAAGGAAGGGTCACCCACACGTCCAGGGCCTCCTCCTGTGACTATTCATTCCCCCCACATAGGGAGCTTGGTCATGCAGTATTAGGGGTGGCGGGGGGGCATGGAGGGAGCCGGCTTAGGGATGGAGTGGAAATGTACTCAGTTCCTGCTTTGGGAGTTCATTTTCATAGACTTTTAGAGTTGGAAGGAAATTTAAAGATTACCTGGTTCAGGCTGGTGGATGATTACCAACTCCTCCCTCTCCATACCACCACCTCCTTCCCCCTCCACATAATAACACATACCTGTAACTCTTTTAGCCAAAAGAAAATAGTTCTGTTACCTGGGTGCTGACAAATCTCAAATAAATTATTAGCCTTGGAGACATTAATGCTCAAACCAAGAGCGTTTCCTCTGAGCTCAAACTGTTCCCTCTCCCTTCCATCCAACACGCACCCCCAGACTTCAGCCTCCTCTATAGCCCTTACCTTTATTCAAAAGCCTCCTCTCCCCACAGCTCTTTCTCCTCGAATTCTGCTTCCTCTTGTCCTATATTTACATGTCTATATATGGAACCCTCATCTCTCTCCTTGAGCTCCAGACCCAAATCTCCAGCTGTCTGCTGGACAGCTCCACTTGAATGCCTTGTAGGCATCTCAAACTCAAGATGTTCAAAACAGAACTCATTATATTTTCTCCACAATCCACCCCTCCTCCAAACTTCCCCATGTCCATGAGAGCACCTCTACCCTCCCAGTCATCCAGTTTCATCATCTTGGAGTTTCTTTGCTTCTTCCTTCTCCTTCCATTCCATATCCAAACAGTTGCCAAGGTTAGTTGATTCTATAATTATTCCTTCCACATCAAAGGGGTTAGGGGTGTGCCACCCTCTTACCCCTCCCACCTCCTGCGATTTGAAAAATCTGTGTAAAATTTTTTGGCTCTCCATACCAGAGAAGAAGTCTGAATTATTATGGTATTAAAAGATAAAATATGTTGATATTATACAATGCTATACGTATATTTTATACATTTCTGAGTTTCTAAACCTTTTCTCTATCGTCTGCTGGCCTTCGTGTGTTATCTGCAGCTTTGGTAAAACTCCCCTCAAATTCCCATTTAATTCTTCATGCTGACCCTCAAGACATTGAAACTGTGGTGGGGAAAGTCCCGATGTGGAAGGTATAACTGTACTTCCAAAGCAGCTCTTCGATCCGTATTATCTCTCTATACATCTTCTACCAGAGCCTAGTTTCTCATCACCTCTCCACTGGACCACCATAATAAGTGTCCTAAATAGTCTCCCTGCTCCAACCCATCTTCACCCAGCTGGATTTTGATATTCCTAAAACATAGATCTGACTGTGTGTCACCACTGTCCTTAAAAATCTTCAGTGGTCACATATTGTCCCTAGAATAAAATATAGAACTCTCACCCCGGTATTTAGAGGCCTCTACAACCTGGTTGCTTTCCAGTCCTATTTCAGGTTACTTCCCTTTATACATCTCTCTATCCCTTCTCCATTCCTGCCAAACTAGTCTAGCGGTTCTATTTTCATGACATTATCTCCCGTTTTGGTACCTGTGCACAGACTGTCCTCCACCTCTGAAACGCAGCCCCTCCTCATCTCCCCAGCTTAGAATTTGATCTTCCTTAACATAGCTCACAAAGCACAGCTCAGGTGTTGCTTCCCAAACAAAGCCTTTTCTCCTTTCTACAGGTGTTAGTGCTTTCGCCTCCTGAAATTATTCACTTATTATAGGATAATAGATTTAGAGCTGAAAGAGACCCTGGAGGCCATCCAGTCCAGGGTCTTAATTTTATAAGTTAAAAATGGGGCAGCTAGGTGGCACAGTGGATAGAACACTGGCCCTGGAGTCAGGAGGACCTGAGTTTAAATTGGACCTCACACACTTGCTAGCTGTGTGACCCTGAGCAAGTAAGTCGCGACCCTGATTGCCTCCAAAAAAAAAAAAAAGAAAGAAACTGAGCCTCGTAAAAGTTAAGTGACTTGCCCAAAGTCACGCAGACAATATGTGTCAGAAGTAGGATTTGAACCCAGTTTTTCCAGGCATTTTCTTGTCTTTCTAGAAAATGTTTTCCCCCAATAAAATGTAAGTTACTTGATGGCAAAGACTGTTAAATTTTTTTGCCTTTGTATCACATGCACCAATTTTTACATATAGTGACCTTGAATATCTCATTCTCTTAAGGCTTGGATTTTTCCAAGTTGAGAGAGAGGAGAGGAGGGGACACACACTTATTAAGAATAATAAGCCAGGCACTGTGCTAACACTTTACAAATATTATCTTACTTGATCTTTACAACAATCCTGAGAAGTAGGTATTATTATTATTATTATTCCTGTTTTACAGATAAGGACACTGAGGCAGACAGGGGTGAAGTGACTTGACCAGGGTAACACACAGCTAGTATCTGAGGTAGAATTTGAACTCAGATTTTCCTAACTTCAAGCTCCTATCCACCACACCACCTAGCTGTCCGGGGGTAACTATTAACTAATCTGATAAATTTATTGCACTAATATGTTGATCAGAGTTGTTTGTAGGAGCTGAGTTACTGAGGGCTTTTCCTCTAGTTCTTAGACCATGCAGCCAAAGAATATAACATCATCAGGACCTTCTGGAGACAATAAATACTTGTAATTTGAGATTGCTATTGTGCTGTATTAACTTGTATAAATTTAATCAAATAATTAAAATATATCAGTCAGTAGAGATAAGGTTGGTAATAAGAATCACACATGGCCTAGTGAAAAGAGAACAGGCCTTGGAGTCTTCCTGACTTCCTGCATTCAAGTCTCAATTCTGATATAAATTGGCCAGGCAGATCACTTAAGTTTCCAGGACCCCAGACATTCGTCTCCACACAGATGAATTCACAGGTGTCCTTATTCCAACTTCACTTCTAGCTCATTGCCTCTACTGCTTGTTGTGGTAGGGACTCTAGTAATACTCTAACAGATCTGCCTGTATCCACTCTCCTCACTTCAATTAATCCTTCATACGGCCAAAAGACTAAACTGCACATACAAACTTGGACTTCTTTTTCAGGTCAAAAATCTTCAGTGGGGGCATCTATGTGGTGCATGGATAGAGCACCAGCCTTGGAGTCAGGAGGACCTGAGTTCAAATGTGATCTCACTAGCTGTGTGACTCTGGGAAAGTCACTTAAACTCAACTGCCTCACCAAAAAAAAAAAAAAAATCTTCAATGGATTCCTTTTCTTATCAAGAGGGGCAGCTAGGTGAGGCTGTAGATAGAGTTCAGGGCCTGGAGTCAGGAAAACTCTTTTTCTTGAGTTCAAATTTGGCCTCAGACACTTAATAATTGTGTGACTCTGGGAAAGTTACTTAACTCTGTTTGCCTCAGTTTCCTCCTCTGTGAAATGAGCTGGAGAAGGAAATCGCAAACCACTCCAGTATCTCTGCCAAGAAAACCCCAAATAGGGTCACTGAGAGTTGAACACCAATGAAAAACAACTGAACAAAAATTCTTACCAAGTAAAATGAAAACTTAATTGCCTGAGGGGGCAGCTAGGTGGAACAGGTAGAGCACTGGCCCTGGAGTCAGTAGGAGCTGAGTTCAAATTTGACCTCAGATACTTAATAGCTGTGTGACCCCTGGGCAAGTCACTTAACCCTAATTGCTTCCAAAACAACTCAATCACCTGACATTCAAATTCAAGGCCCTCCTCCATCTAGTATCATCCTAACTTTTTTAGCTTTAATTCTCATATAAAAGAATTTGTGTGGTGAATTTTCCAAGAAAAGCCTTAGGTCCAAATTCTGGCACTACAACTTACTATCTATATGACAAAACAAAAAAAGACCCAATAACTCTCTGGGCCTCAGTTTCTTCGTTTGTCAAATGAAAGGATTGGACTGGATGGCTACTAAGGTCCTTTCTAGCTTTCAATCTGTGGTCTGATTCCCTTCCGCCCACAGTCCAGCCAAACCATACTTACCCTTGTACCTTTGTGCTCCCATGATTTTCCTCATCTCATTTGCCATTCCTTTTGCTTGTTGTTCAACTACCTGCTTTAAGTCCCACTTTTACAGTTGCCTGAGGTAGCATATTAGCTTCCTAATTGGTCTCTCTGCTTCTCCCCACCATGTATCTTTTACATAGCTTGCAAATACAGTTATCCCTTCCTCATTGTAGGGGTTAGGGGCACAGTGCTCCCACAATATGGAAAATTCATGTAAAAATTTTTGGTCCTCCCTTTTTTGTATCGGAGAAAGACTATGATTTTTTTCTTTTTCTTTTATGGGATGTTTCTAGCACCTTACTATAAAATTTGGGTTGATACATATATTTTATGCATTTCTGAATTTCTAAACTTTTTCTATGTTATTTGCTGGCCTTCATGTATCATTTGTGGCACCCACAAAACTCCCTAAAAATTCCAATTTAATTTCTTATGCTGACCCATGATATATCAAAACCATGACGGGGAAAGTTGCAATGTGGAAAGGACAGCTGTAATCTTTTGAAGGCACAGATCTGATCATGGCCACAGTTTGGCTGTGTTCTACGTTCTTGGCTGAATTTCATACTACCTCCTATCACTAACTCATATTCCAGCCAAATGAGACTCCTAAGCTTCCCTCAGCATTCCATCTCCCACCTCAGTGTATTTGTCCCAGTTGTCCCCCAAGCCTAGAATGTGTTTCTTTTTCTACCTCTCAAAAACTTTTCTTCCTTCAAGCCTCATCTTTTGCCACTTCTATAACTAAAGCTTTGTCCAATTGCTGTCCACCCCTCTCCACTCCCATTTGTTAATTTATTCTTTCCTCAATTTCTTTAGTATTATATTTATATTGATTTGTGTTTATGTTGTGTCTCCCCACAAGAATGTAAGTTCCTTGAGGGTAGGGATTATCGATTTTGTCTTTACCTCTCCAGCCCAGCTTATATTTTGGGTCCAGACTCAATTTCATCAGTTGTTTAAAAATGTGTTTGTTGAATTAGACTCAAATGACATTTCCCTATTCCCCTTTAATCAGTGGTGACTTGAAATTTTTTTTTCCAATAGCTTGTCTTGTAACCCTTTAAATCGCTGAAGCTTATAACATTGTGCATTACAAGTATTAGGTTGTAAGCTCTTTGACATCTTATATAAACTTTCCTAGAAGAAGTATGGTATTATCTTCATACAGTAGGTAGGTATTTAATAAAATTGTTGAACCAAGGGCAAGCAGAATACAATGAGAACAAGGCCCACTTGCCCCATGTGGCTTTCCCAGACCATCTTACTTCTCCTCTCTTTCTTTACCACTTGCCAATTGAGCCCAGGCCCACCCTATTTATGCCTACTTAGAAAAGACATTAATCTGGCCTTAGACATTTATTAGCTGTGTGATCTTAGGCAAGTCACTTAACTTCTGTTTGCCTTAAGCCACTGGAGAAGGAAATGGCAAACTACTCCAATATCTTTGCCAAGAAAACCTCCTGGACAGTATGGTCCTCAGGGTCACAAAGAGTCAGACATGACTGAACAGTAACAAAAAAGAGATGTCTCTATGTCACACTCTGCAGCTGAGTGGCACAATGGATAGAGCACTGGACCTGGAGTCAGGAAGACCTGAATGCAAATCTGGCTTCAGATACTTTCTAGCAGTGTGACCTTGGGGAAGTCACGCGACCTCTGTTTGTCTCATTTTCCTTATCTATAAAATGGGGACAATGATGGCACCTACCTCCCAGGATTGTTGTGAGGATCAAATAAGATGCACTTGGCACATACCTGGCACATAGCTATATAAATATTAGCTGTTGTTGTTGTTACCCCTTCCCTTCCCAGATGCCAGCAGGAGAGAATTTGTCTGGAAAGATTTGAAACTGGATAAGCCAGAGAGAGTGAGATGCAGAAGTACTATGGATAATTAAAAGGTTCCCTAGAGGCAAGGCCAAGAGGGTAAGATCTGGAAAAAGCATTCAACTTCCCAGTTTCTGCCACTTGGAAAATAAATCAATAGTTATTAGTTTGAAAGGGGCTAAGAGCTGCTTGGGAATTTCTTTTTAGACCTTGAGTCTCAGCATGACTTAGAAAGTGGACTGGGCTAGATTTGGAATCAGAGAGTATGAATGAAAATCCTGGCTCTGTCATTTACTTGTTGTTCAGTCATTTCAGTCATGTCCAATTCTTCATGACCCATTTTTGGGTTTTCTTGGCAAAGATACTGGAGTGGTTTGTCATTTCCTTCTCCAGCTCATTTAACAGATGAGGAAACTGGGGCAAACAGAGTTAAGTAACTTGCTCAGGGCTACACAGCTTGTAAGGGTCTGTAGCAGATTTCAACTCTTGAGTCTTCCTGACTTCAAGTCTGGCACTCTATCCTCTGCATCACCTAGCTAGCTGCCTGTGTCTTGGGGGAAAAATAGGAACCATAATCACCTCAAGTGAAACTCATTTTCTTCATCTGTAGAATGAGAGGGCCTCTAAAGTCCCAATGAGGATACAATATGCAAAGATTGAGAGCCAGAAAGAATCTCTGATGTTCATGGAATCATAGATCTAGAGACACACAGGGCCTCCAATAGGCATTTATTTCCCTAATGGGGGCTTTCTGTCTGTATTCTGAAATCTGAAATATTGCAATGCTTCCCTAGCTGAGATTGCTGCCTCTACTAACTTCCCTGTCTACATCACCCTAAAAACTGGGATAATCTTAAACATGGTTTGTCTCTATTTTCCTGCTCAAAAGCCTCAAATCTCTTGATTTGTTTGGTCAAATGCCAACTGCCTTATTTAATTTTTAAGGTCCTCCACTGAGAGTCTTATCCATACTTCCCTCCTATCCTCAGCCTTCTACCCTTATCTCACTAACTTCCTTCCTTATTAATCTCAGCTTTAGCCAAACTAAGCAGTTTGCCATCTCAAAGTAATTGGTTTATATCTGCCCCCACCCCTTCACATATAACCTCCATCCATCCTTTCTGCTTGAGGCTTTCTGCTTCTTTCTCTCCTCTAAAATCCTGCTTAGAATTCACTTCCTTCAAAGAAAACTTCCCTAACTTGCCCCCACCCCCACTTTTGCCTCTTTACTTTTGAGTTCTGGGGTTTTCATAATGCTAATTTTATACTTGTTTATATAATAGCCATTTATTTGGAGGTTTCTTGTCTGATAACATTAGTTATCTAGAACCTGGCCAAGAACCCAGACATCTGAACAGACAAAATTGCAGTTTAAAGTATATATACTTTATTTAGGCCCTCACTCTGAACCATTCACTCTTTAATTTACATGCAATTCTAACAACCTTGGTTATTTGGATTAAGGTAGGTATAAAGAAGTGCCAGGTAGACAGTGGGATAATTGCTTGACTACTTCCTCCTATTAGAATGGAGGCTCCTTGAGGGCAGGGATGTCTTTGTTTTTGACTTTGTATTGGGTGCATCAGAAGTAGTTTCTGATGTATTTGGGAGGGGTGAGGTGGAACAGATCTGTGATTTCATTAATATAGGGAAGTCCCAGGGAAGAAACTCCCAATATCAGCACAGAACAGTTGCTTGAGGCATCAAGTGACTAGCCCAGGGTCCCACAGCTGGTATATGTTAGAGACAAGACTTGAACCTGGGTGTTCTGAGGCCTGCTATCTGAAGACTACACTTCGGCTCACTTGAAACATAGTAGCTATTTAATAAACACTTGTTGAACTGGATTGAAATAAAGGTAAGCACATTGTCAGTAGAAGTGACGACTGATAGCTCAATAGCACGAAAGAAAAATCCAGAAACACTACTTATTTTTCAGTCCTTTCAGTTGTATCCAACTCTTCATGATCCCCCCCCCTTTTGGGGGGGGTTGCCATTTACTTCTTTAGCTCATTTTACAGATGAGGAAACTGAGGCAAACAGGATTAAGTGACTTGCCCAGGGTCACACAGCTAGTTTCTGAGGTTGGATTTGAATCCAAGTCTTCCTGACTCCAGGCTCCAACTCTATCCACTACATGACCTAGCTGCCCTAGAAAAACTACTTAAAGAACCACAAAAACTTAGTTTACTGGGGCCATTTTATACGGAAGCAAATGGCCATTTGCTTCCATATAAAATGGCCTATAGCACCTGGTAGTATCACTTGGATTCTAACTAGCAGAAGCTAGTTGGATGCACACGAATGTGAAGTTAGTTAGGTACAACTCTTCTATTTATAGTTCTAAATCCAAATCACTTCCTCTTTTTGAGCTTCAATTTCCTCAGCTGTAAAATGGGCATAAAATACTTGCCCTTTCTACCTTGCAGAACTGTTTCAAGGATGTTTTCCACTCATTAAAGTGCTAAATAAATGTCAGATATTATTACAGAATAATGCAAAAACTAAAGGGGCAGCTAACTGGCACAGTGAGAGCACCAGCCCTGGAGTCAGGAGGACCTGAGTTAAAATCTGGCTTCAGACACCAGCTGTGTGACCTTGGGCAAGTCACTTAATCCCAATTGCCTCCAAAAAAAACCAAACAAAAACCAAAACACTAATGTTCATAATAATGCCTATGAATTATCAAAGAGTCAATATACTTTCTTTAGAAAGTTGTCCAGAATTAGATAAATGAACAGGAGGTAGGAGAGTTGGGATTTGAACTCAGGTTTTCTTGGCTCTACAGCCAGCTTTCCATCCACTACACTCACTGCTCTATGCAAGTAGCTAGGGCTAGATGTTGAAGAGAAGGTGCAACCTACAATGGTTATGACAGTTTTCCTCAGCCCAGGAGTTCCAGATATCAATGAATCCATAGGTCAAGCTCCTATTTCTATCCCTAGCCTCTGTTTGAGAAGGCAGCATAGTCAGAAAAACTGCTACCAAATAGGATTCTTCCAGTTTTGAGTTTGTTGGTGGGTTGGTTTGTTTGTTTTTTAGAGGCAATTGGGGTTAAGTGACTTGCCCAAGCTAGTAAGTATCTGAGGCTGAATTTGAACTCCGGTCCTCCTGACTCCAAGGCTGGTGGTCTATCCACTGTGCCACTTAGCTGCTCTTCCAGCTTTGAGTTTGGAAGAGGTTTTCTCCAATTATTTGGAAAATTATCTTCTATGGGATGGCTTACTCCCCAGAGATGGTGGATAAATGAGTTATTTGTGTTTGGTATTTCATAAGACGGTACAGTATAATGGGGGGAGCTCTGTAATGGAAGTCAAGACAAACAGATACTAATTCAGGTTTGACTAGTTTCTGTGAGATGTTAGGAAAGTGAATTTCTTTGGTCGTCAGTTTCCTCTTCTGTAAAATGAGGGACTTAGGCTAAATGATCTCTAAGGTCCCATCTCATTCTAAATTTTATGACCTTGGGCAAATCTCTTAACCTTTCTGGACATCTATTTTCTTCTCTCTGAAATGAGAGGTTGGACTAAATGGTCTCCAAGATTCCTTCCAAGTCTAAAATTCTTTGGTGTCTCCCAAGAAAAGCTTCCTCTCTTTACCCTCTACTTCTTAGACTCTGTAAGGGGTTTCTTCTGTGGCTATGCCTTCCCTTCTGAACTTCCCCCTCAGCCTGTTACCTCTGCATCTATAATGCATAGCATTTCTCAGAGAAACATAGTAGGCACCAAGTAAGTGCTTAATTCCCTTTCCTTCCCCCTTCAGAAAGGGTGCAGGCCTGGGGGAGATCCACCTCAGTGCCACCCTCCTCCTTTCTCTCCTTTCTTTTCTGGGATAGAGAAGAGAGATAAGATTCCAGGTGAATCACATCATAACACTCAGCACTCATGAGAAGGCCCTACCCCTCACCAGTCCCACATGGAGGGCCACTCACGGAACATCGTCATGAACTGCTTTGGGTTGAAGTTCCAGTAACCCCAGTTGGTTCGGTAACCGTGCAGAGTGGCATACTCTTCATGATTGTATGCAGGTTCTGTGCCAAAGGTGTCAATGACCCGGAATCGACACCTGTCAGAAAAAGATGAGGGTCATGGGCCAGTAATCTACCTATCTATGTGTAAGCAGCAGAACATATGGAGCCTCCATGTCATGGAAATCTTTCTAGGGACAGGGTGGTCTTTGCCTCTGGAGAAGTCCTGAGCTTCTTATGTCCTGAGGCTGTCCCCAGCCTTCTTGGTGAGGTATTCTCTCAGGTATGAAAGAAAATTCAGGGAAATCAGAAAGTCTCATCTTTGGAGAAGCAAAAGATAGAACAGTTCCAGAAGCTACTCTCAACTCTGCTGCTTCTCTTCCAGACAAGATCTTACCTAACTCTGTTAGCTTTCTACTGCCTTCCTCTCTGACATGCCCAGTCACCTGGATAGCCCAGAGAGACCTTCTCTATGAAGGATCCCACCATTCAGAGTAAGGGGTCTGACTTTAGCCCCAAATACCACACAACTCCATCCAGACACAGGCACACAATGATAGTTCCCTCCCTAACCCGAGTCCAGTAGGCCCAAAGGGAGGGAGAAGATGGACTCAGCATTTGTTCCTCCAGAAATAGAAAAAAGTCATTAAGCTTCAGACTTCTCCCAAAAGGAGTCTCATCTCCCTTCTCAGAGACCCAGGCTGCTCCAAGGTGCTTGTTCCTCACACCAAAGAAATGTTGAAGTTGGCGTTATTCCTGCTGTGAGAGATTGAGGTTGGGTGGGGGTGCAAAGGAGCAGAATGAACTCAGCACATTCATTTTTAATAAAAGCAATAATGCGGCCTGTCACTTTTTACTCTAATAAAATCATGTGGGATAGTCAATGGGATTAGAGAAAATGTAATAAATAGCAGAACGATTTGTGCTAAATTTAATTCCATATTTTGCTGGCTGTGGATGTACCAGGGAGTGATGCCATTTGTCTTTTTCAGGGTTGAAAGGGAAGTGGGGGATGTGAAGGTGGAGGTTAGATAGGAGTGAGGGGATGAGATGCTGGGGTGATAGAGAACAGCAGAGTCCAGGGAGCCTCTGTTGACTGTCTTAGATCCATGCTACCCTCCCTGATTCTCTTTTCCCCATCACCATCCCCCTCACCAATATCACCATGCCCTCCTGCTCTGCTAGTCCAGCAGCATTTTCCCAGCCATGCCCTCCAAATGGTAGCAAGTAAGAGCAAGAACCCTGGCTGGGTAGTTCATCAGTTGCCAAACAATCAGGGCATAGTCACAACTAGGCCTTTTCCAGATAGTGGAAAGGTAGCCTGGGAAAGGAGGGAAAAGAGAACAGAGAAACTTCTGCACTCCTCTTGTCTGCCCCCAAGTGTGTCCTGGGGCAGGCAGGGGTGAGGAGTGGTGGTGGTGGGGGGGGGGGAGATTCTGTTTCGGTTCTATTCTGGTTAGGTTGATGATCCAAAAACAAATGAAGGTTGAATTGAATTGAATTTATGCACCTATGTCCCCTCCAACATTTACCTCCTCCTCTATGGAAGGATTTCCCCTTCCTACAAGAGTACCTTATCAAACCAATCAGTGCAATAGGGGAAATAAAGCAGAGGGAAGGAGGGGATTTATTTTCGTGAAGATAGGACATAGCATTAGAAAAAAGTTATGTGCCATGTAGAAAAAGCCCCAAGTTCACCAAAAGTACCTACCAATCATAATGAAATTGGAACAAGTCATTCTTGTGGGGCATCCTGAAAAACTTAAGTTATTTTCAGTTTCTTTTTTTTAGGTGAAAAAGGTATACCAATCTCATCCAAATAACGTCTCATCTAAGCAATAGCTTTCCAAATGGGGTCAACCACATTTAATAATCTCAGTACTCCTATAATATGCAAAGTACCCCCTTCCTTGAATTATAGCACTTGCTAAAAAACCCCAAAAGCAACCATCCCCTTCTCTCTCCCCCCCTTCCTTGCCTCCCACCCAATCAATGTTGGAAATCAATCTGAAAAGGAGACACTAGAATCAGAGGGTGTTTCCTTCTGAAAGCTGTAGACCTGGAGTTATAGTAATGAGTGAATTCCTGGATTTAAGAACCCCTTAGGGATCTCATCCACATATTGTCCTTCAACTCCCCACCCTCACCTCTGACCCAGCATCTGTTTCTCACCTGTATTTCTTGAAGGAGAGTCCCATGTACTGTTTCATTTGTTGCAGGCCGTGGTAGTCAGTATAGATGAGGTCAAATGGCAGGGGCACTGTGAGTGGACAGCTTCCCCGGCCTGGCGGCACCCCTAAGTTACTGAGAAAAAAACCCTTCAGAATATGGGCCAACCAGGCACCCAAGAAAGGGAAACCTTATTACCCCAACCAAACCTAGCTTATTAATAATAATAAAAAGAATAATTCTCCAATTTGTTAAATGAGGTTTAACTTCATTTGAATAGTATTTATTAAGTATCTAGTACATCCCAAGTACTGAACCAGGTGATGGTAATATAAAGACAAAAACAAAACAGTTTCTCTCCCCAGGAAGCTTATATTCAACCAGGGAAGGGGAAAGGAGGGAGAACTTGTATACAGAAAATTAAATACAGAATATATTCAAAGCAGATATAAGTTAATTTTAGAGGATACTAGTAACTGGGGAGAATTAGGATATTCTTCATTCCTGTGCTTGAGCTGAGCTTTGAAGGAATCTAGGTATTCTAAGAGGCAGAGATGAGGAGGGAGGGCATTCCAAGCAAGGGAGACAGCCTGTGCAAAGGTATGGAGATGGGAAATGGAATGACATATATGAGGAACAGCAAGTAAGTAGACCAGTTTGATTACAGTATGTGAAGGGGACTAATATATAGTGCCTGGAAAGGTAGACTAGAGTCAGATTGTAAAGAACTTTAAATGCCAAACACAGGAGCTTATATTTGACCCATCTAGTTGAGTTGCTATGTCCTGCAAGGAACCAACCCAGTTGAGTAGCTGAGTGACTTGTCTACCATTGAAATAACTTCTCATGGAAAACTTCATGGGTCTATTGTTTATTAAGTTGAACTTAAGTTCAAGATTTTGAAGGGAAGAAAGTAAAACCAGATCAGGTGTGATGGCCTAGTGAAAAAGATAGAGACTAGACATTTTTTGAGGATAGAGAATAGGTTTGGTGGGATGGCGCAAGCACAAGGAGAAGATGGAAAGGTCAGATAGAAGAATTTCAGTGTTTATAAGATCATAGATTTAGAGTTGGAAGGAGACTTTGAAGTCCAGAGAGCTTGTCACTAGCCCACGGTCACACAGATTGTAAGTAGTGTGGAAGCATATTAGAAGCATCCTTTTTTAGTTAACCTGGAAATATTAAGAAATTCTATTTCTCTTAAAGCCATCTATAGTCACATGAAAAAATGCTCTAAATCACTATTGATTAGAGAAATGCAAATCAAAACAACTCTGAGGTACCACATCACACCTATCAGATTGGCTAACATGACAAAATAGGAAAATGATAAATGTTGGAGAAGATGTGGGAAAATTGGAACACTATTGCATTGTTGGTGGAGTTGTGAAATGATCCAACCATTTTGGAGAGCAATTTGGAACTATGACCAAAGGGCTATAAAAATGTGCATACCCTTTGACCCAGCAATAGCACTTCTAGGGCTATATCCCAAAGAGATCATACAAATGGGAAAAGGACCCTCATGTACAAAAATATTTATAGCAGCTCTTTTTGTGGTGGCCAAGAATTGGAAATTGAGAGGATGCCAATCAATTGGGGAAATGCTGAACAAGTTGTGGTATATGAATGTAATGGAATACTATCGTGCTATAAGAAATTATGAGCAGGCTGACTTCAGAAAAACCTGGAGACTTGTATGGTCTGATGCTGAGTGAAGTGAGCAGAACCAGGAGAATGTTGTACACAATAACAGCCATGTTGTACAATGACTAATATTGATAAATTTAACCCTTCCCAGCAATACAAGAATCTAAGACATCTCCAAAGGCCTCTTTATCGAAAATGCTATCCACATCCAAAGAAAGAACTATAGAGTTTGAATGCAGATCGAAGCATATTATTTACTATTTTTTTTCTTCTGTTGTGTTTTGTTTCCTCTTTCTGGTGGTTCCTCCTATTGGTTCTAATTCTTACTTACAACATTGCTAGTGTGAAAATATGTTTAATACGAATGTATATGTATAGCCTATATCAGATTGTGTGCCATCTTGGGGAGGGTGGTGGGGAGAAAGGGGGAGAAAAATTTTAAACTCAAAAGCATATGGAAGTGATTGTTGATAAATCAAAATAAATTAATTTAAAAAATAATAATAAAAATAAAATATGAAAAAGAAATTATATTTCTCCAGTTAAAAAAAAACCAAACCTTTCTAGATTTTCTTGTTTGAAAGTGGAGATAGGTTGAGGACAAAAAGATCTTTCATAAAGATAAATTAAGGGTAATAAATCATAAATTGAGGGTAGAGACCATCCTTTTAATAACTCTTGTTAAGAATATTGCCTTTCCTACTGCAGAAGTGATTGGGTTTATAGCCCCATCTAAGGGCAGGATCCTCTACTTCATCCCCTGAAGGTTTTAGTCTTAGACACAAGCAAGAGGAGTGCCCTTATTTATTTTTCAGAAAAGATTTTTGATGTTGCTCTCTGGGAGAAGTGCCGTGGATTCTTTAAGGGGAGTGGTCCAGGAAGGAGTGGGATAGTGATTTGTTACTCAGCTATTCTGGAAAGTTAACCCCGAAGCTGTACTTTAACACATGATGAGCCTTTTCTTTTTCAAGATTCCTGTGTTACCTCAAATTGTCTTGTGGCAAAGAATCATGGATGAGAAATGGGAGAATATGCCAGTTTGGACATCTCTCTCTCTCTCCACCCCAGCTGCCCCTTCTGTCTCTGTCTCTTCCTAAGCCAGGACTCTGATGACTCTGGAGGAGAGAGGCTGATGACTTTGTGCAGGTTTGCCTCACTTTAAGTCCAATTCACCCGCAAGTCGATGCAACACCCAAGAACAAACAACAACAAACCAGAAATGATTTAGATATTAGATCAAATTGTTCCTAGCAAACTCATGGCTAAAATGCAGAGTGCAGTATTAATATTTTTCTTTGACAGTAGTAGAATAAAGACCTCTAACTCCGTCATGTTTTCCATTGTGCCAGACTGTTGGCACATTTGTGAATGATGACAATATCAAGAGTATGACTGTTCCTGTGGGAAGGTGCCAATCATGAGAGGAAGAAAGAACTAGGAAGGTAGGGTAGCTGGGAGGATATCAGCATGTAAACAGAAGTCCATAAGAAGAAGCTGAAGGGTAGGGGTGGAAACTGAGTCAGGTACTAAACTTACATATCTGGACTGCGCTTTCTAAGTCTCAGAAACTGACTCTTATCACCCTCCCAATAACAGTGACCAGCAACCTGGTAAGGAAAGCAAATTCTCAAATGGGGAGAAGGTTCACTTTAGCTCTTAGTTTCTTCCCTTTTTCCTCTTAACAAACATACTCAAGAAGCTAGAGCTCAGCTTACCACCATAGGAGGAGCTGCCTCAATCTGCAATCCTATGTGTACAAACTCAGTGGAGTCTGAGGCTATGTCCTTTGAGGTGAGATCACTCAAATAAGAAGACACTCTTCCCCACTGCTCCCTCCTCCACTCACTTTATCCCAGTGCACAAATAGAATCACTTTAGTGGGGAAGAAGATTCAGTACTTCTAATCTAGACTCACATTCTGGCTCCAACCTATTCTTCCAGAATTAATTCATATCACTCCCCTTAATGACTCTGTATTTCACCCAAACTGGCTTACTTGCTTCTTCTTCTTCTTCTTCTTTTCTTCTTCTTCTTCTTCTTCTTCTTCTTCTTCTTCTTCTTCTTCTTCTTCTTCTTCTTCTTCTTCTTCTTTTCTCTCTCTCTCTCTCTCTCTCTCTCTCTCTCTCTCTCTCTCTCTCTCTCTCTTTCCTTCTTCTCTCTCTCTCTCTCAAGTGGGGTTAAGTGACTTGCCTAGGGTCACACAGCTAGTAAATGTCGGAGGCCAAATTTGAACTCAGGTCCTTTTGACTCCAGGCTCGTGCTCTATCCACTGTGACATCTATCTGCCCTTCCCCCAACTTACCTTTCAAAAGCCACTTGTTATTCCAACTTCCTCACCTTCTATATATTTTTCAACCCCTTACAATTAGACTTTTACCCCATCCTATTACTGAAACTTGTCTGTCCAAGGATATCAGTCTCCAATTACTTTGCCAGCAAATCACTCTTCTCTCTTCAAAAACATAGTTGCTGGTTATCAACAAGTATTATAAAGCACCTACTATGTACCAGGCACTGCACTAAGCACTAGGGATACAAAGAAAGGCAAAAACAGAGCATGCTTTCTAGGAGCTCAGTCTAATGGATGAGACAACAGGCAAACAACTATGTACAAACAAGATATATGCAGGATAAATTAGAAATAATCTCAGAGGGAAGCAAGAGCATGAAGAGGGATCAGGAAAAGATTTCTTGCAGAGGTTGGGAATTTAGTTGACGCAAGGAAGCCAGGGAAGACAGGAGGTGAAGATGAGGAGGGAAAGAATTCCAGGCACAGGGGACAGTCAGTGAAAGTTCATGAAGAGTAAGGAAATGGAGCGTCTTGTTTGAGGTACAGCAAGGAGACCAATGTTACTGGATCTTAGAGTTCATGGAGAGAAGAAAGGTAGAAGACTGGAAACAGAGGAAGGGGCCAAATTATAGTGTTTCAAGATGCAGAGTATCTTATATTTGACTCTGGAGGTAATAGGGAGCCATTTTGTTTTGTTTTGTTTTGTTTCTAGGCAATGGGGTTAAGTGACTTGCCCAGGGTCACACAGCTAGTAAGTGTTATGTGTCTGAGGCCAAATTTAAACTCAGGTCCTCCTGAATCCAGGGCTGGTGCTCCATCCACTGCGCCACGTAGCTGCCCCAAACCAAACTCTTTTTTTTTTTTGGCAATTGGGGTTAAGTGACTTGCCCGGGGTCACATAGCTATCTAGTGACAAATATTTGGTCTGAGGCCAGATTTGAACTCAGGTCCTCCTGACTTCAGGGCTGGTGCTCTATTCACTGCACCACCTAGCTGCCCCATTGGGATTTTGTGAATAGAGGGGTAATATGGTCAGACCTGTATTTTAGGAAGATCACTTTGGCATCTGAGAGGAAGATGGACTGGAGTGGGAAGAGATTTGGGACAGAAAAACCAACCAGAAGGCTACTGCAATATTCTAAATGTGAGGTTATGAAGGTATGTACCGAGGTGGCATCAAGGGAGGGTATCAAGA